GTTGTATGAATATAGACTTGATCTAAAATCCAAACCCATCTTACTCTATTCCACCAACAGCTGAAGGCATAAATCCAGCGTCGCACAACAGATAACTCTGGTGATATTCTCTGCTTTTTGTCTTTCATCACAAATCCCACGTGCAGACTCAAACCAGCAATGAAATCCTCCTACCAACAAGTACTGTGTACCGAATCCTGATGCATCTTAATCCTCTGCACCATAGAGCTCCATTGTTGTCCAGAAAGTGATAAAACACACCAGTGAGCCGCAGTGTTAGTGGCTGACATGTTCCTTCTTTACTGTGAACACACACGCTACAGTTTATTTCGACTTAGTCCAACATACGCAACCCTGCAGCTACAAAATACCTCAAATGTGAATTAATCCGCTACTGAAGATGGTCCAAAACAAATGCGTCATTTCCTTGTTTATTGGGTGATGTTTGTTGAAACAGCAGTGGCCACCTGTTTAAAGAGATGACGAAGTGTTTAAAAAAACAATATATATATATATAAATCTATATATGTGCCTTTGAAAATATTTCAACTGAGCTTGGAGCTGAGAGCCGCAGACAGTCAGAAAATACTGAGATGGACTAGGACGTTGTTGGCTTTATTCTTTAAATTGGATTTGTTGACAAAAAAATTACCATTCTTGTCCTTAGGCTAATCATAATCTAGAAAAGAACATGATCACTTCAATATCACAGGCTTATTTGACCAAGTAAACCCTCTCCAGCTTGGCAGCTGTGAAGCTACAACCATCTTAGCGGCCTCCTCTCTCTTCATCTCTCTTGATCCTCCCCCTCCACCGTGACTGCCTTTTTCACCTGAGGGGAATAACTCAGAGGATCAACATAATCACAAGTCAAACACCGTGTGTCATTTTCAGCTGCACAGTGGAAATTATCGCTGCTTCCCCCACACTGAATAATGCTGCTGGCATTTAACATTACACTCTCATCAGTCCATGTACCAATGGTTTAGTACTTCAAAGCTAATTCACTTTTACACTTTGGTGCCAATTAGGCAGAATGTAACTTCCCTTGAGTATTGCACCAGTTGCTTTCTCAGAGTGGGCTTGACGCTGGAACCCTTTGGAGTTAAATGGTTTTGGTCATAAAATATGATCTGGTCTCTAAGTCATCAGTGTAAAGGAAGTGTGCTTCAGCAGTTCACACACAGTCAATCAGTGTTTGGTGTCTTTATTGGACTCAACCTCAGGAAACAAACTGAGAGGTTGAGGTCAAGGCCTTGTTTGAATTATATGATCGTCTGAAAATCGTCTGTGAGGATCTTATGTGGTACGAAGGTTTAGACAGGATTTGAACTGACTCTCAAAACAGCTCATCCAAAAGTAGCACTTTCAAAACATCATCTAAGTATTTTTTTCTTTGAGTGGGGTAGAGGAGGTGTCTTGCATTGCTTGCTCCCACATCCTAGCGCATCATGAAGTAAGACTCTTTGGCAGGCTACTGTTTATTTCATGGTTTGTTTATTTTATGCTTCATTCACATGCGAAATCGTTCAGTGCTCTAGGTCTGATCGATTCATGGAACATATGTAATAGCAATTTTTCTGACAGATAGTGTGATATAATAATCACAAACTTTATTAATGCTAGATTAGATTAGACTCCTTATTGTCATTGTATAAACATACAACTAAATATAAGTGCAGCATATTCGATAAATATATCAAAACTAGAAAAACAAAAGTGGAAACAATAAAGCAGAAGTAATAAATAGCACACATACTCTCACAATACACATCCACTGTTCACTACACTCATACTGCCATGAACAACAGTCATTTCATTATTGCCCATTTGTGTCCACTGTAGCATGTGAATGTGTTGTATTTTCAGTGTGTCGTTCAGGATAGTGATGACTTGAGGGTAGGAAGTGTTCCTGAATCTGGCGGTTTTGATTGACCAGTGACACCTTCCCGAGGGCAACAGTTCGAACAGACAGTGGGCGGGGTGTAATGAGTCCATCAGGATGTTGTGTGTTTTCTTCAGGCAGCGGGAGGTGAAGATTTCATTCAAGGCGAGTAGCTGATGGTTTGTGATGTGTTGTGCAGTCTTTATTATTGTCTGCAGTGCTTTTTTTTGTCTCCTGCTATGCCACACCAGGATGCAATGTGCGGTGACGCTCTCTATGGGAGCACCAGTAAGAAGACATCATGAGATGAGCATTCTTAGGAAGTACAACCGCTTCTGTGCCTTCTTATCCAATGCTGTGATGTTCTGTGATGTCCTCTGTCAGGTGTGGACACCCTTTCCACCTTTCCGGTGATGCGGACCCTCCTGCTTCCTCCTACAGTCATCATTTCCTTTGTCTTTCTGATGTTGTCTGACTAGCACAATTCATTACTTACTGAATATACTTTATGGCTCCTACAGGCCCATTAAACATTCATAGTGCTGTTTGAACCTTTGGGTTTAATATGCTGTGATAAGACAAGATAAACTTTTTGATCTCTCATCTGGGAAATTCACTCATTACAGCAACCAGACAGACATGAAGGATGGTAAAAACAAGAGATGAATTTAAAAATAGAATAAAGGTAAAAAAAAATAAAGATAATAATAAAGACTATGTGCACCTTTCACATGTGCACACAGTGTGTTGAATTGTACTTAAAGAATCACAATCACAATCAGAAACAGATTTATTGCCAGGCATAGTTTGCACAATATGAGGAATTTGTTTTGATGGGTTGGTGCAACAATAAATATACACAGTGAGGAACAATGTGCAAGATAAAAGTATAAAAATAGCTAAAAAATAAAAGTACTAAAAATAAAAATAGTAGTAGTGCAAAGCAGAAGCAAAAGATATTGTGCAGTGAAGAATTAACTTAAGTTTAAATAAGAACCATTGAAGTGTAGTTATTTACAAGAATTTACAAGAGTCCAAGGTGTGGAGGTGCAGCATGAACAATAACAGAACATGAACATAGAGAGAACATTATGCACTTGAAAAGCTATAAAGAGTAGAGTGCTACGATATGCTGAACAGTGCTACATGATGTTATTGCACTGGAATGGCCTTGTAGTGGTAGGGTCCTAACAACGGACAGCATGTTCTTTGGCAGAAATAACCTCAAATGAGTGTTTATTATAGTTGCAGATCCAACCTGCACATTGTTCACAAAGAATTTGGAATGAATCCTCACTGTTTTATCTAAGATTCTAAGACTATCTTTAGAGTGAACGGTGAAGTGAGAATAATGTTACTCAAGTTGACAACAAATGGTTAGAGCCATTTACTGTATTTTGCAATGCTCGTGGGGGCTGCTGGATTATATTCTGTTTGCTCTAATGTGCCCAATTCTTCTGGCTTTAAATGAAACCTGAATGGAGAAGGAAGGTGTGGCTGATGTACTTGTTTTTTTCGTCTAACATGCTGGTGTTCCAGTGCAACATCCAGTAGTTCTAAATGTCGTATTCTGCATCTTTAAGTGTGAATTTATTGGCTACAAAGCAACATTATTATTCACATGCAGTTGTGTTTGTCTCCATCTGGTGAATGTAACTGTCTCCAGGTCAGAGATGTTAGAGATGAAAGTGATGTCACTCATGTCTTCTGACTCTGGAGACAGCGCTTTCTCCAGATGTGTGAATTTCCTTTAGATAATCCCAGTTACTCTACCTTATGCTTATTTGCCAGTTACTCTGCTGGTGTAAAACTCCAGTTGGTCTATTTTAAAAGATATACTGACTAAACACATTGGTCAGAACTGCTATTTTTGTTTCTCTTTCTTACTTCAGCTTCAGTCTGAGTCGCTCAAACCTCCCCTCCTTTGCTTGTTCTTTAACTCTCTGATCCACCTCCCTTTTTACTCTTTCCTGCACTGTCTATATAAATAGCTGTGCTCAAATACTAAAGTCTGTTTATTGCTTGTTTCTGGCTTTCTATATCAATAGAAGGAACAATATACATAGTTTTAAAAAGTATTCAGACACATTTTTTGCACACTTTATTGCTCATTTACAGATGAAAGCCAAGCCATGACAGTCCAGGAAGATCTATACAGTCTTCTGTGAGAAAACTCCTGCAAGCCATAGAGTGTTCTCAGGTTCACAGTGGCCTATAACTGTGAAATTAAAGAACTTTGGATCCATCAAGATTCTCTGTAGAATTGGCCAGTCAGCCAAACTGAGTAACCAAACAAGAAGGGTCTTGGTCGGGGAGGTGCCCAAGAACCCAATAGTCACTCCATCCCCTGCAGAAATGAGAGCACCTGCAAATTGGACTAATTACCATCTTTACAGCCTTTCAATCAATCAGGCCTTTATGGTAGAGCAAATACATGGAAGCTAATCTGAGCAAAAGGTATGACAGCCCACTGAGAGTTTTCCAAATTGAACTTGAAGGACTCTGAAAATATAAGGAGAAGATTCCTCAGTTTAATAGGTCAAAACCTGAACAATTTAGGTAGAAAACAGCAAGCACTGCTCAGTATCTGGTTAATAATTACCTTTGATGAAGCATGGTGGTGGTAGTGTTATGTTGTGAAGGTGCTTTTCAGCAGCAA